AATAATAATAATGAGGTCAGCGTCGTGTTTACGTTAGCATTTAGCATGTAGCTAGCAGCTAACGTTACCTCTCACTGTTGTTGATCAGAACTCCTCCGGACTCCGAATGGTTCTGGTTTAAAGTCATGTCGGTGGTCGTCACGTCTGTCCCAGCAGCAGCAGATTATCAGTGGTCTTAATTTACCAGAAGAAAACCCGGATTAAAGTCTTCCTAAAACGCTTCGGTAGCTTTCCACTTTACCTTGGTAACCGTTGTTATGCTAATACTGGGGGGTTGGTACCCTTACGTACTGACGTCAGAAACTCCAACGTAAGGACGTCACGCATTAAAGAGAGTTCAGGAAAAACAAGTGCATTTATTTCCCAAAATATTCTTGATGAATTTTCCCTTTAACATGTTGTTTGGATTCTTCTCTTATCCCTTTAATAAAGAAAAACATTTGCATATTATCAACCTAATTAGTCAGAGGTGAGCAGCACTAATTTAAAAATTAGTTCCACTAGCCCTAAAACACTAACTCAAACATTTAGATCCTCTAATTCTAAAGCACTAAATAAAGCCAGTGAACCCATGARCATTGTTCAACAGACAACATGAGTCACATGTTACCATGTAAGTCTTATCAGTGAGTCCACAGCTGTGTTTGGTTCATGTTGTCACCTGGTGGATCAGTGACACACCTGAACAACATGTGACAACATTAATGTTGAGCAATAACATTTATAGACCTCAGGTAGTGCTTCTAGATTTAATATATACATTTATCAAGTGCTAATCCACTAACACATTTTAAAATTAGCAAAAAGCCCTAAAGCACTAATCAGGAAATTACTTCCCCTATTAGTGCTTTAGTGCTTTATCTGTGCCCACCACTGTAATTAGTATTACATAAATCTAAATTCTCAAATTATAAAACTTGCTTTTTAGGTTTTAAAGAGGAATTCAAACAATATATCAGAACAGTCCAATATTCAAAAAGTAGTAAAGCTACAACAGATAAATGTACTCACTTCATCTTTAGACAAGAAGAAGTTGAATATTGTAATTATAGTGGAATAGACACTTAAAGCTGATAAAAGTAAAGTGAAGGATGCAGATGAGTGTAGAAGTGATGTGTGAATACATCTCTCACAGTTGAGGGAGGGGGTGGTGTTAGTGTGTTATGTGCAAAAGTCACGCACTTGCAAAATGTGCAGTCCTGTATGAAACGGAGCAGTGTTAGTGTGCTCGACTACAGTGTGCTGTGGGCGGGGGGCATCCTTATAGCCTGGTAGATGGAGCTGTCCCTCAGTCTGCTGGTCCTGGCCTGGAGACCCTGCAGTGTCCTCCCTSATGGCAGCAGGCTGAAGAGGCTGTGCAGAGGGTGGGTAGCATYTCTCTCCAGGCGGGGGGCTTTCTGTGTGAGGTGGGTTCTGTACAGGTCCTGAAGGGAGGGGAGAGGGGTGCCAACAATCTTCTCAGCTGCTCTTACAATGCTCTGGAGGGTCCTGCAGCAGGCAGGCTACTGTGCAGACCCCATACCACACAGTGGAACAACTGGTCAGGATGCTCTCCATGGCCCCTCTGTAGAAGGTGGTTAAGATGGGGGTGGGGCCACCAGCTCTTCTTTGCAGAGAAARTAGAGTTGCTGATTTGGCTTCCTGGCTGGTGCTGCTGAGTTGTTGGACCAGGAGAGATCCTCTGTGACGTGCACACCCAGGACTTAACATATACAGTATATATATAAAGACACTTTTTCCTTCTCTCCTGCCCTTCCTTATCTTCCCTGCTTTGCTGCTTGAGCCTTCTCTATGTTTTCATCTGAAACCAGAAATTATGGATATTTTTATTTTTATGGATTTGGTTAGCTGGTCTCTTAATAAAATTTTTGGAACAAAGTTTATTTTTCTTCTTCCATGGGAGGACATGTCAAAGGTGGGACCTCTGTTCTTCTCTGTTCTGGATTTATGTCTGGACTCTGATCACTGGATTCTACAGACTGGCTTGGTGGTCTCCTGGTGGTCTACAAAACAGTGTTGGTGGCTGTTCATCTCCTGGCTGACTGACCGATATGAAGGATTGCCGTTCTATCAGCACTCCGATTTTTGCCTTGAGCGAGCTGGTCTCGGTCTGCAAGCGGTTCTATTGAGGGTCGCGGGCCGGCTGTGGTCCCTGGACTTTGCTGGTCAGATGGAATTGATCTTGAAGAAGCTGATAGCACGGCTCGGCAGGATTGTCCACATTATTTGTCTGATTGGATTCACCACATTGAGATGTACCAGTGGAGATTAAGGTAGATGGAAAATTGTTATTGTCTGCCTGACCAAAAACATTTCCTCTGTTCCCAAACAACTGATTACAGAATCTGGCTCTCCTGCAGGACCTTGAGCAGTTTGACTAAATTCTCCTTGATGTATACATCGACTGAGGGTCTGCCCCAGACCCCCACCCCCTCACACCCGACTGTGATCTGGTTCCTGGAGCAGCTGAGGGTCGCACAGAATGAACAGTTAACATCTATATTCTGAACTGTGGTGGTTTTGGGAACCAGGTTCTTCAGGCTCATTCTTCAGATATTCACACAAGCATACAACACTCATGGCTTCAGATACACACCCCCTAAACTCACTTACTCCTCTGGCTAATAAATCTGCTCTATGTAGAGTTTTTGTTAAAAACACCATAGTGTGTCACATTGTTGATATAATATGATGTTTTTGTTTTCCTCGTCTGTCCTTGTGTGTTTTTTAGTTTTTCTGTTCAGGGTAGCACCTCGTCATGATGTCTTCATGAAGATGATCCTTGCTCTGTGCAGGTCTGTGGCTGTATGACCCAGAGCACCTGTTCTCCCATGTTTGTCATGTTGTCTTCTTCTGAATGGTTGTTCTGAACTGTAGTTTCATTGTGCTCTGTACGATGATAATAAAGGTCTATCTTATCTTATCTTATCTTATAACACATGTATTACTCTATTTACCTTTGAAATCAACCCTTGTATAATTTTAATAAAGATTTTAAAAAGTCTGCTGTTTCTGGGTTTGAGGGTTGTTTTTCTGAGGAAGACATTCACTTTTGGCATCCGTCAACAAGGTCCAGATTAAAACTGTTTTTTCTTAGAGATTCCATTATTCTCAGATTAAAATCAGAGTTCTAATTTAGCTCACAGAATTCTACCTGTAATCTGAAAAATTATGTCAGAAAAAGGGACTTTGAACCAGAATTCCAACCTTTTTCTCAGAATTTTAATTTTCATCTCAGATTTATAATATTTTGAAAATAAAGCCAAAAATTTAAAATTCAAATCAGATTTCTGTCGACAATCTAGAATGGAAACTGTCAGGACCGACAAAATAACCCAGGGCACAGGATAGTTTCAAAAACCAAAACGCACGAGGCCTTTAATGAAAACTCAAAGAGGCTGATGATACAGCATTAGATGAAGAACATGGAGCAGGACACGACCAGGTAGACAGAACAATGATCCGACAATGAGACAGAGACCAGACTGATCTTAAATACACAGAAACCTGATGAGGGAACTGAAAACACCTGGAGAGAAACACAGGGTCAACAGCAGACTGAGGCGGCCAGCTGCACTGAGACACACAGGGGAACATAGAAACACTGGGATAAACAAAGCATAAAATGACAGACCATGAGAGAAACTGTTTTTAGAACTTTTAATTTAATATCAAAGTTCAGAGATTCTCAGATTAAAGTCAGAATTTGAGCTTTGATTCTCAGAATTATAATTTAAATTTCAGATCTATAAAAAAGTAAGACGTAAGAAGTGCAATTTTAAAATATTAGGTCATAATTTTGAGATACAATCACTTCTGATTGATGAGTCATCAATAATAAACAACAATTTTATGTTATAAAATCAATRATAAGATAAGATGATATCTCATAAGTATAAATGAGGATTTTTTAGCAGACAGAWATGGCAGAATATGGGCTTCTACTGCAATAATAAACACAATATTTGTTTATTTGTTTGTTTGTTTATTATTACACATTTATTTCATGAGCCTATTGACAGATTTAAATAACTCTTATACTTAAGTGAATAGTTTTTGGACTGAAGACGGCTGCCTTGCTGATTGATCAAACTTCTACAAGTTGTTTTGAGTAAAAGAATTAAAGAAATGTAGTGTCAGATGAAAACACGTCACATTTATTGTGTTCATGTGTTTGATGAAATAAACATCTGTGAGGGAACGTACACACAGCTTTGTTAATCTTTAAGAAGTTATTAGTGCTCAGGTTTGGTTGGGTTACTGAGCTGTGATAGAAATCTAAAATCAAACTGATTCAAAAGTTGATCAGTTACAGATGTACACTCAGTATGTACCATTTTAAAGCTTCGTTGAAGTGTGTGCAGTGGTTGATGAGATATTTTGCTAACAGTCAGGTACACACACACTGTTGCATTCAGTGATCTCTGCAGAGACATGTTGAACAGAAGTGTGTGTGTTTTGTTTTTCAGCACATATGGCACAAGTTAAAGAAAAAAGTCACAAGTCACAGTTACTGACGTTACACCTCCAACAGGAAGTGATGACTTCCGGCGCCTGTGTGACACTACACTGAAATGTGTTGCACACACACACACAGCTTCCTCATATCTCTCACACACACACASAG